AAAAATTAATAAAAAAAAAAGAAAAAAAATATTTCAGGTTAACTCGTCAAACTAGGTTAACTCATTAAATCCGAGATCCGTGTTATGAAAGTCAAATAACTAAATAAAAAAAATTAACATAAAAAAACTAAATTAAATAAAAAATTATTGAAAAGAAAAAAAATTGACGGGTCAACCCAGAATTAACTAGATCAATCCGTGAAACCAGGTTAACCTATCAAATATGAGATACATGTCATAAAAATTTGATAACTAAATAGAAAGAAATTAAACATTAACAAACTAAAGTTAACAAAAAAATTAATTAAAAAGAATAAAAACAAAAGAAAATCTGGGTTAACTCATCAAACCAGATTAACCTGTTAAATCTAGAATTCGTGAAAGTTTAATAAATAAATTAAAAAAAATTAATATTAATAAACTAAATTAAATAAAAAAATATTAAAAGAAAAAACAAAGAAAGAAGAAAATAAAAAGAAGCCTTAAAAGCATAAAAAAAAAACTAAAAAATTAATGTTTTACTGTAAATTACGCTGTACAATTCATAATAAAACACGGATATATTTTAGTATGCATTTTAGTATCCGTTACAATTTATGCACATTTTAGCATTGCATCCATTGAGATGAGTGAAGTTTAATCCTTGTAGTTCAAGGTGGTTAGCTAAAGATTTGACAAAGGCAGCCTGACCTTTACGTGAGAAGCTGAGAAGCTGAGCCAAAACATGGATGTCTAAATTTGAACATGAGTAGTTGATTAACATGTGGCTTGACTCATCTAATCTCACTTGAGAATTGAGAAGTGAAAATGACTAGAGTTCAACCAAAGAGTCACATTACCCTTCAACTTACATGATGCGTACTACTAAGCTAAGCTAAGTTGAGCTGCGAAGGAAGTTCCAATTACCATCAAGATTTAAGCAAAAGCAACTGTCCATGTCCCACATGACGCGTATAGCATATAGCGCAGAGGCTATAAAGTTTACAAAACAATAACCAAATACAAAACTATCTGCGGTGGTTGGGACTGTCAGCAAGTAGCCTTTTAAAAGGCCAAAACACCGTCAATTCATATTTATGTGTGTGGGTTTCAGCCGAGTTTACTTGGGTCACTCGGTTTCCAGGTTAACTAGGTTTCGCCTGCCAACTCCTTAACAGGTTTTTATCTAGATCTGGACTGGTTTTAGATCTAGGTTAACCTGTCGGGCTGGGTTTCAAAATTATGGTGGCAAACACTGGCCTGCTCAAACAATCCAAAGAACTGTTTCGGCCTTTTAAAAGGCCAAAATACCTTCAATTCATATTTATGTGTGTGGGTCTCAGCCAAGTTTACTTGGATAGCTCGGTTTCCAGGTCAACTAAGTTTTGCCTGGCCAACTTCTTAACAGGTTTTTACCTAGATTTGGACTGGTTTTAAATCCAGATCGACCTGTCAGGCCGGGTTTCAAAATTATGATGGCAAACACTGGGCCTGCTCAAACAATCCAAAGAACTGTTTTCAGCCAGGTTGCTAAAAATATCTAAAGTATAATGAAATAAAAAACATTCAAGAAGGACATTGTATGTTTGGTACTGCAGGTCTGTAGCTAGTTTTATCCATCAAATTATTATTATTATTATTATTTGTTTAAAAAGGCCTACTCTTGGCATACTGTGTTTAGCAGAACCTTATCAAGATTTTGGATGGTTTAAAGTTTTTTTTTTTCCCTGTATAAATTAAAGCTGGAGGTTACATTTCATAGTCCATAGAAGACATACTCTTAGCATGCTATGTATGGTACTGCAGTTCTATAGCTACTTAAGAATAAAATTGTTAAAAAAATGAACCTGCAATTAGTTGTTACTGAATCTGGATATATCATAGCTAATCTAAAACCACATCAAATAATTGAAGAACTCGAAAGATAAAAATATGACAAGGTTCTTCATTATAGTCGTTGTTCAATACAAACATGCATAATTATAGATAAAGAGGCATACCACGCTGCTCAAAACCAACCGAACAAGGAGCATTATTAGTAAAGTAGCTGCAGTAACAAACAAGAGACAAGTATGGAGCAAAACCAATCAAATAATATAATCTGACCAGTCAGAGATAAATGAAGTATGATCCATGGACTCTCCAGGGCATTCCTCATGCTTAGCTGGTTTTTCCTTTCCTCCCACTAACCTTGCAGGATTTCCAACCGCAGTGGTTCGAGGGGGCACATCAATTAGCACTACTGAGCCTGCTCCGATCTTTGCTCCTTCCCCAATCTTTACATTCCCCAAAATGGTGGCACCTGCTCCAATCAACACTCCGTCACCAATCTTGGGGTGGCGATCCCCACAGGCTTTCCCTGTTCCTCCAAGTGTAACATGATGCAAAATGGAGACATTATTACCAATCACTGCTGTTTCACCAATCACCACACCAGTAGCGTGATCAAAAAGGATACCCTTGCCAATCTTGGCTGCTGGGTGTATATCAACAGCAAAAACATCAGAGATTCGAGAGTGTAAAGCCAACGCCAGTTGCCTACGAGACTGATTCCACAACTTGTGAGCAACTCGATGAGCCTGACAAAATTATAAAATTAAAATCAATTAAAAGTGAAAGTAAAACAGTACGACTATCAAGAAAAAGGTTATTTAGTTGGTTAGTTGGGAATAGTTTACCTGGCAGGCCAAGAAACCTTTGTAATTGAGGAGGCAGTGAGAGAAAGAAACGCAAGCAGGGTCACGAGCACGTGCGGCTCGAAGGTCAGCAACAGCAGCGACGCGAAGGCCAGGGTCTGAAGTGAAAGTGTTGAGGAAGAGATCGTACAAGAGAGTTGAGAGAAGCGTTGAAGAGCAGAGCTTGTTTCCTAAATGAAAGGAGAGCGACCTCTCTAATGACGAGTGAGACAGAATTGTCGAATATAGGTAGCTTGCCAAAGCTGGCTCTGACTCGGCGTCGCGCCTCGCTTCCGCTTTTATCTGGGCCCACACCCAGCCCTCCTCGTCGTCTATTGTGGTGGTGGAATCTGTTGGTGGCGGTGATCGGTATCGGAGCTCCCCTTCCGGCGGCATCTTGTTTGGAATCTGTTGGAGTAGTTGTTCAGAGAAAAAACCAGTGCAGAAACCAACGATTTTATTTTATTAAAAGTGTATGTGGATAAAAAAACGCCTTGTAAATTACGAAGTCTAAAACCTTTGCCTGCTTAAGTATGAGGCGCAGTGGTATTCAGATTTAGGATTATTTTTTTATTAATATATTAAAATAATTTTTTTAATTGCTTCCTTATACACTACATGAGCTGGTATTTTTGGTTGATAATTTGATTTAATTAGTTTTCTATTATTGTGATGTCAAAATAAAATCTCAATTTTGCAAAAACAAATCCAATTTTATTGTTGATGAAAACTGAAAATGCAGGGACCGAAATTGACAATTGGGCAAAAATACAGGCTTTTTAATATATTCTACCAGATTCCTTTTAAAGAATTTGGCCTCTGGATTTTTGTGATGGATGCGACCGAAAATGACTATATACCTACCATGCAAAAAAAGATTCCTCATGAATATTCAATGGAAATAAACTTTCTTTAAGTTTTGTGATGGATGTTTTATATTTTTTATTAGTTTTTTTTCCTTTAATCAAATACAAAATATTAAAAAAATATTAATATTTTTTAAAAAACTTCCTTTTGAAATCATAATATATTTTTATTTAAAAATAGTGTTTATAATAAAAAAATCATGATTTTATTAAAAAATTAAGAGATTATTAATAAGAAAACAAAATATGTTATTTTTATTTTGAATTTTTTTATTGATTTATTTTTATGATTTTAATAAAATATGTTATTTTTATGCTTTTTATAGACTACTTTCGGTCTTATAATTTGAGTCATAGTTTAAAAAGTCAATATTAATAAACTTTTTTATTTTATTTTTTATATTTATATTTTTTAATAAAATTATTATATTCTCATTTAATTTTTACTTTATTAATAAATAAGCATTTATTTTTTGTATTGAATTGTTGTTGTTTGTTTATTTTGTTTTTTGTCAATATTTTATTTTTTAATGATATTATTAAATTAACAGAGTTTATTAAATTCACTCCAGCCAATTGCCTAAATATTATATTTTTTTACTTTTTAAAAATATTTATTTTTTTATATTTATTTATATTAAGATAATTTTTTTTATAGGACATACCAACTAAGTATTACTATTTAAACAATGAAATTCATTGCCTTTTTTTTTGGGTAAAAAAAATAACAAACGAACACATATGCTTTATCATCAGGTTTTCTTCTAGAGAAATAGATGAGCCAGGCGTACGGGTCTCTTTTAGACCTACCCCCTACTCTTTGAATCAAGTCTAGTACATCGTGATTGGATTTTTTTTAGTTATTTTATATTTTTGAGCTCTTTTTTTCAAGTACATTATTTAAAGTGGAGTTTTTATTTAATTTTATTTTTTATTGAATTAATAAAAAATTATTTTTTATATTTTTATTATATAATAAAAAATTAAATTGACCAAGTGAATTTTTTGTGTTTATTTTATATCTTTTATTTTTTAAATTTTATTATTTAATATGAGAGGTTTTTATTGAATTTTATTCTTCATTATTAAATTACTAATAAATTAATTTTGATATTTTTTATTATATAATAAAATAAAAAAATTAATTTGATTTGGTAGAGTTCATAGTCCAGATTATAAAATTGATAAACTAACTAAATACCAATCAAAGAAATGAGTAGGAATTTTTCACATTTAAACTGTTATACAAAATTTAATAACAATGCAAAAAAATCTTGTTTGGAGGTAAATTTAGTATTTTTGTACTTGGAAAGATTTTAAATCCCTTAAAGAAATTACAGGAATAATGGCTAACAAACCATGAAAATGAGGATTTTTCAAGAAACCTTAGAAATTTACCTCATAAGAAACTGACCCAAATTAAGGTAGACTTGTTTAGTTTTTAGTTAAGGCACACTTGTTTAAACCTTAGAAGTTTAGTTTTTAGTTAAGGCACACTTGTTTCTCAATGGGTGTTAATGGAGGCTAATTTTAGGCAAGGATGTGGCTAGGTTCTGGCTGGTGAATGGAAATATCTTAGCTCTAGATCATACCTTTTATTTTATTTTTACAATAAAGAATGAAAAACATTTATCTAAACCACTCTAATTAAAGATGTTGACGGCTTCCATCTCTCTGTCCTTTGCTTCTAACATTGCAAAATATCTAATTTCTTCTCCTTCATTTCTCATTGTTCCCTTCTCTCTCTGTCTTTTGCCTATAATAGTGCAAAAACATTTGAGAACCATTGATTCTTTTCTCCTAACATGCTTCTAACTTCTCTCTTCAAGTCCTTATCTCCTCACCCCTCTCTTTTTTCCTCCGTAAAAAAAAAAAAAATACAAGAATAATTGTGGTGTCAAAAAGAAAATAAAGGAGAAAAGTCAGCAAATGAACAAAGAGATGGAAAAAAAAAAAACCCTCCTTAATACAACTGAGACTCCCAATAATCAAAGGGAAAAAACATCACTATATTATTAACATTCTTAGTAGCTTAAGTCTGCATCCATGGTAAAAATATCTCACCTCTTAGTTTTTTATTAGTTTTCTTGTGTGCTCTTGAATTACTGTTATTAATGTGATCATTTTATTTAGCTAAGCTAAACATGGCTGTAATTTTTGTATCACTTGGTTATTTTATATGGGTCTAAAGTATATAATAAGTCAATGTCAGTCACAAAGACAAAAAAAAAAAAAAAAGAAGAAGAAGAAGGAGGAGAAGAAGAAGAAGAAATTCATGAAGTCGAAGAAAGGGCATGGAAACTATTGAAACATGTGAAAGAAACTGGCCTAGAATGTTGCAGTGACAACATGGACCTACTATTCGACTTCTTTAGAGATGAATTTGCTACAAGAACGTATGGGGATAGGAAACAGAGGATTGAAGTGGAATTGCTTAAAAATGCAAAAGCTTGGATAAATGGGGAAGACAGCTTATGGGTTGAATGGGAATTAGAGCATAAAAGGGAGGTTTATGTTAGAGATATGGACAGGGAAGGCAGGTGGAGCAAGTTTGAGGAAGAGCAACAAGAGCTTGCTTTGGGAATTGAGAATGGGGTGCTTGATCTTTTGGTTGATGACCTATTGCTTGATCTCATCTCATACTAATGATTATTACAAGTAACAGCACTGAAATTATCCCATAAATGGCATAACTCATGCCTAATGTCTTGTGGTATTTCTAGCCATAGTCTATGATAGAAATTTTGGAGGAGGAAATGGGGGGGACACAGTGGTGGTAGCACTTATTTTTCTTAGCGAAGATCGAGAGGTTAGAATAATGTACAATAATGTACGTTTAATACATTTCCTTTTGTAAATACACAAATTTCATTTGTTATCTTGTAGAATAGTTACGCAACAGTTTTGGACATAGCAACAAAGACTATGATAATTTTTGAAGCTTTTAAGAAAATCAAATTAGTTGCCGTAAAGGAAAAGAGCCCATAATAATGTCATTTAACCAATTCAATTAACAAATAAGTAATCAAAGTAAAGGAATGTATTCGCTTTGATTAGATAGGATTTTCAAAGAGAATATTGATGTCCCGGGCACTCAGATTTTCCTTTTCTTGGTTGTGAGATGACCGTAACCATCAATGTTTATTTCAGTATGCTCTTTATATCAAAGAAACTAAATTGGCTGTAAAAAAATGGTTTTTTAATTACTTATTTAGATTGAACAAACTGGTGCGCACCTCTCTTCTTCTAGTCAAATTAAAAACCACCTTTGTCAGTTATCCTTGCAACTTATTGTTTCTCTATGATCAAAACTCTGTGATAAGCTTTTGAAATTTTCCATAAAAATTGCAAACACAGCACATCTTGAATGTACCATCTTAATCCACCAGGCAACCAACTACCCTTTCATTTCTAACATATCATTCTTAGGTATTGGTTGATAGAAATCATTAGTGTATTCATCTTACCACGTAGAAGTCCAACCTTTCAATTTGATCACAATCAACTTCAAACCCTTTTCTCATAAGTCTCTCTTCCATTTGATGAGTCAATTCTACAATTTGCCTCCACATGTTTTTTATCATGAACTCCAAGATATTTCTATTTGAAGAGGGAATCTCTCCTTGTTTTTTTTTTCACATACTATTGTGTGTTTTTTTCCAACTATGGTTATTTAACAACACACAACAAACAAATAACCATTAGAATTGTTGAACTTTGATACCAAGTGATACAAATAAAAACATGAAAAAAAAAACAGTAAAATAAAAAAAAAATTATAATAAAGGATTGCTACACAAAATCCTAACTCATAATTTTATTACCAACAAAAAAATATAATAAATTTTAAACAATAATTGAAGGAACTTTTAAATTCTATGACTATAAAATTCTAACCCTAAAAAAAACTAAGATTTTTAAAATCTTCTAGTTAAATTAAAATTTATAAAAATTATACATCATATAAAATATCCTATTATAAATGAAAGCTACAAAAATTATATGAGAAAGCTTTCACGTTTTTGGACTGCCACGTTAACTTCGTACACCAAACCATATCAGATAATGATGTCATAGAAAATTAAGCGAGAAGAGAGAAAGTGTCTTTTATCTCATCTATCTTAGATATCAAACATTGATGGAGCCAATTTTTAAATTAAAAAAGTACAAAGATGACTAAGACCAACTCTTTCAAATGTCAAAAGGATAATAAAGCATACCAAGAGCGAATGAATATTCAGTCAAACAGTGGCAGAAACGTTCGTCTGTAGGCAAAAACATCATTGGATTAAAATTTGAATTTTTTTATTAATATTTTTTAATTGTTTTAATGTGATGATAAAAATAATTTTTTAAAAATAAAAATATATTTTAAAACGAACCTATGCTACACTTCCAATCAGCCGTATCTCGCGTCGGACTATTTGACAGATTATACCTTTCCAGAGTATTTTCAAAATGCCTGCTTCCATCAAGTCTTTGAAGGTATGAGGCGAGCTAGACAGATTTTCACTGCATTACAATATCCCAAGATCAAATGATGGGGAACTTTGTGGGTCTGATTTTAGAATCACTTCCTGCTTTTGTACGGACAAGTCTGATCGTTGGTTGGGAAGTAATGTAGCTTGTGCTTCCACAGCATCAAGATCAAGAGTGGCAAAAAAATCATCATAGAACATGTCCTCATTGGCATCAATTTCGTCTGCCGGAACTTGCTGGAATGATGCTTTCTCTGGAACCTCTGACTGCGAAGAGAACTTTTGCTCTAAGTTCAGAACAGGAATAGATGATTGACAAAAACTAAAATTTCCTTTCCTGGTTTCTGATCTTGTCTCGTTCTCTCTCTCAAAATCAGTGGTTGTACAGGGCCTTGCTGCAGAGATCCTCTCTTGGTTGATTTGGAAGGGTCCTAAATCCCTTCCAGCAGACTGATTGGCTGAATCAGTTTGAGGTGTCTTGACCGAGGAGCTCCCACTTCCATTCATTCTACTTGTAGACGCCCCGTGATCAGGAGTAAAGGTGGCACTAGAACTAGATTCCCTTGCCATTGGTGATTGGCTGAGCAAAGAACGCCTGTGGCATGACGACATCAATTAGATTTAACACTCAGCAGTTTCATCCCAATAGATAGTATATGAAGAGATTATTAAAATAACCATCTAGAAAACGAAATGAAGCATGCAACCTAGCTTGACAGATAACTAGAACTTTCAGATTCCAATACTGCAGTTTATATATATATATATCTTAGATTAAGCCCTAACACACATGGACATGCGCACAAGATAGACTGACGGGGAGTCAAAAACCTGTAAACTGCCATCATGTCAGCTCTGCTAGCTTTGGAATCAGCACTTGCCACTGTTGGATTTATCCTGTCATCTATGAAACTATCATCATTTGAACTGTTTCCCAGGTCATCTGCCTCGTCATCAGATATTTCAGCTTCCGAAGATACTCTGATCACACCCAAAATGCAGAGAAGGCAGCATGAACATTCAGAAAACAGTAGTGTCTTACAATTTGTAAATTTCCATGCAGAGGAAAAAAAAAAGGCATATGGTCAGAAAAATGCAGAAGCCAGGTAATATATGTACATCCACAGAAAAGGGAATAGTCAAAGCGTGCAAACATACAAACACATGAGATTTAATTGTGGCCCCCGAATCCATTTCTTATAAATTTCCATGCAGAGGGAAAAAAAAAGACATATGGTCAGAGAAAAATGCAGAAACCAGATAATATATGTACCTCCACACAAAAGGGAATAGTCAAAGCGTGCAGACATACAAACACATATGAGATTTAATTGTGGCCCCCGAATCCATTTATTATGACAGTATTAGTTTTGCATGATTAATGTAAATGTCTTGAACGAACATATAAAGATTAAAGATCTCCTTGAATGCATAACTAAATATATACCTCCTTCGACTAATTAAATTTGTACAATTAACTGCTTCATTTTTTTCTGTACCACTTTGGCCTATATTAAATGACAAACTGCAAAATGTTGATTAACTACCATGTTTGGCGTACAAGCATTTTGAGCTGTAAAAGATGATTACCTTCATTGACATTATCCCCTTCTTGAACAGGGTTAGCTTCCAAGCACTTACGTGAAGAGGCTTCATCCTACAACATTTGGCCAATATTATATGACAAACTGTAAAAAGTTAATTGACTATCATGTTTGGCGTACAAGCATTTTGAGCTGTAAAAGATGATTACCTTCATTAACATCATCCCCTTCTTGAACAGGGTTAGCTTCCAAGCACTCACGTGAAGAGGCTTCATCCTACAACCATTATACAAACATATAAACAATAGAATCCAACATTAAGGAGAAAAAATGTCAAGAAACCAAGCTTGAAAGGAAACCTCAGCAGAGAAAGCTCCGCATTCCCTAGTAAAAGGGAGATCTTGCAAATGTTGCATTGAGTCAATCAGCATCTCCGTACGGTGAGAATGCATTACTCTGTGCACTCTGGATGGAAATGATTGGAAACGAGGAAAGGCAATCAGAGATGGTGTCCAAGTATTTCCGGGGTGGAAATACTTGGCAAGTATAGCAGTCTCTGCAACAGTTAGATTTTCTTTGAAAACGGGTGTCTGAATGCTATTATCATCCTTCACTTTCTTACCACGAGGAACATATTGTTCAATTGACAGCTCAACAAATTGGACTTCTGGTTTAAAAATATGAGGAATCTGAAACAAACATAACAGAATTCTAGCTTAAGAAGATAAAAGTATTAACAACAAGGGATACAACCAGAGAACTTTCCAACAGATCTCACCATTCTTGAGCTAGAATGGAAACTGAAGCTATTTATCCCCCCATTATGCATATGCTTCTTTATTGCCCTGCTGTTTGCTTGCTTTCGCATGTAACCCTTCAACTCAGAACCTTCACAAGCTAAAACTAGTGAAACTTTGTCAAGGATCTAATTGAAAGCAACGTAGGGAACTGCAAAAGCAAACAGTTTTACAGTCTTCAGAATGAAAATGAAAATGAAAAAGGATATCAACTCGTCCATCATGCTTCCTTCCAGTTCTTCCCATGCGTTGAATCATTCTCAATGGTGATACATTAGCATCAAAACATACTACAAGATCAACTTCCATGATATCTAGGCCTTCTTCACCAATTGATGTTGCAACAATTACATTGTATCCCCCAGTTCGAAATTTCTGTGAGCAATTGAAGTAAGTGAATGCAAGGAGCTTAGAAAATACTATGTAACATAAATACCTGCAATACAGCCTGTTGAACTTTCTGTGATTGGCCTTTCAATGCTTTTCCTGCATGACTTTATCAGTAACTAACATCTCATAAATGATTGCCACATAGATTATCATGTTCAATTCAATTCCATAAATCATAAGAAAAAGGAAAGGAACAAAATAAGGCACATTGCAACATTTAAAAGAAGACAGTAGTTCCTTTTGGAAGGAATAAATGAGAAGGAAAATAAAAATAAAAATGAATAGAGCTACAAACCTGAACTTTGACCAATAAACTCAGTTGCTTTAACCAGATCTCCAATGGTTGCTAATGTGTTCATTATATCCCTAAATAACAACATAGTTACCCCAAGGAAAACTTTTCTAAGACGAGGAATGCGCAATAAAAGAATTAGAAATATTGAATAAAGCAATACAGTAAAAATGAACTTAAGAAATTCTTTTCACCTTACACTTCCTCTGAAGTTGGAGAAAATTATAACCCTTGAGTTTTGTGGATCCTTAGTTTCTGCAACCACATGTTTGACAATCATATTCACCAGAAGATAATTAAATTTTCAAGTTTAATGAAATACAAGACATAAAATTCAAGATTAAAAACTAGCAATTCATTAGAAAGTAAAATTAACAGCATAAGTATAAATTCGGAACTGAGTCTTGATGATCCTAAAATGACTGGCTCTATATCAATCAACCTTGTTGAGCTTTGGCAACAGAAGAAAAATCTACCGAAACTGTAAAACCATTTCTTCAAAATAGAGACTAACATGGAATTGAGTTGCGATTAACCAGACAATATTGCTGATCCTCCATGGAATAAATACATACAAACATGTGTGAGCATGTTGCTCTACATTTCCTATCCACCGAAGAAGAAAAACATAACCAAGTTCCACTGCAAACAACAATCTTATTTCATTCAAAATTCCTATCCAACAAACAGGAATGATCATAAACAAGTTTCATTGAAGAAAAAAATAATTATTTTCTTCAAAATCCATATTTACAATCCAACACCAATGCATATAGACATTTAAATGTCCACTTCATCCAAATAATCCTTGCTTGCTCATTTAAGTCGAGTCGCGGCTATTTCAGCTTCACTACGCCAATTCTTATCCAAAAGATCAAAGGTATACTGGTAGATTACAGGTTTGCTGGAGAAAGAAGCAACAGATACCCAAAATTTAAAAAGTCAAAGTTATATGCTGTTGCGAAACCTTTCATTTCTGGTCTTTGATTTGTTTGTTCAAGTAGTGCAGTTACATTTTCTAGTTAGATGTTGAGGTCAAACCAAGAATTAAAAATGATATGCCTCCATGTCAATGTAATGCTTTCAAACAAATAGAATGTCAATTAACAATAATTTTCAGGATGTTTGAAGCTTGAATGAAGGTGTGACTGCCTTCTTGTCCTAGGTGTGATGGCATGAACTTCCTTTTTGTTTCCATGCAGATTTAGATTTTGCAAATGTTTGCAGCATTTGATCTATCAAACAGCAACATAGTTTAATTCCTTTAGACCCAAATTTTGTCCGTAACACCTAAAGTTCCTTTTTTCCACAAAATACAACCTAAAAGCACAAGTTTTCCAGCTTGATCAGGGACCCCTCCTATTGTGAATCTTAACAGCTGACAATTGAAGTTTCTAAATAATATGTGAAGTTCAACATAGTAAGGCAGAAGTGTAAAGGGGGAGTAAAAAGACTGGCATGCAAATCAAAACTGCAATTTTTTTTATGTTCAAGAAAGAGGATGCCACTCACTGAAATGGTCAACAAGTACTTCCAACATTTTTGACAATTTGGGACTAGGTGCACCATGAGACAAGCTTTGTTGCATTAAAAGCTTTATTTTCCTAATATCTTCATTTTTACCCATCAGTCTTGCAAATGACCTGCAGCAATCAAGTTAGATCAGCCCAAGCCATCTGGATAACAAAAGGCAACCTATCAATGACCTTTAATACTGCAGCAACATTAAATATGTTCACATTAAAAATTTCACCCATCAGCCTAAGCACTGTTTGGTGAAGTTCAGATGACCAAATCAAATACCATTGCCATTGTCAAATCATCATACAGGACATCTCTACTTGGTAACCTGAGGGTATGGGCTTTCAGTTAGAGAAGAACATTAAATCTTAAAGGATCTTTTACAAGGAGAACTCTTTAATTCAAATCCTCAGAGAACCCCAAGTCCATACAAGAAAGCTCGATGGCCTACCCTCCAATCTAAACAACATAATCTTCTAGCATCGAAACATTTCATGGTTACAGATACCACACTTATAGATTTCTAAGGTCAGGAGATGAAGAACTTTTTGATGATGTTTCATATCCAATGAAAAGCAGAAACTGCTCAATGGAAACTAATGTTTAAATGATCAAGGCAGTGCTGGAGTGGAGAATGCACAAGAAGATACCATTGTTTCAACTTTTCTTCCAGCATCTCATATGCTGGCCTTATTCCATGACTTGAAAGGAGCTTACGGATGTGGTAAAGAGTAATAAGACCTCCAAAACAAGCTTCAATTTCTCCATATCTGTTCTGGGGAAGGTCCAGAGGAGGTGCTCGGCGAAATTTATCTCTTGAGTTGAGTAAATCAGGTGGGCTTAACTGTCATATTTTGATGTCGAAGTAAGAAAACCAGAAGAAGTTGTGGTTTCATTAAACAAAGACCAGAACAAGGTAGATAGCGTTGTAGCATAAACTATCATAGAAACTTTTTGTTATTAAAAATGAAATATTAGTCCAACATGGAAAAAAAATTATTAAAGTATTGCTCATTTGGAGTGGAGCAGCAAAGAAAAAAACACAATGGCTTGTTGAATTAGCTCAAAGTCAATAATGAGACTTTTTACTTAAGATAAACGTAGTTACCATAGAATCAAGCATGGCACTAAATTATGGAATCTAAACATAACTTTCACTGCATAAATTTGAATAGTTAGCTTCTTTCTGATTTTTATGATATTTGGAGGTATATATTCATGTTGAAAATGGATGTCTAGAAAACATTTGGGGTCATCACCGGTGGATAATATAGTTCATTTGCTTTCTTTTCCCCCTCAATGTACCATGTAGAACTGATCTACATTTCCAAATAAATGCTAATTTTCCCTCTTTTCTAACTGCTCCCATTCATGAAATTGTTGGGCATTTTAATTGCCCATTGTGGCACTTTCAAGGTTGAAAATTTATTAGATCAATGGCTAAAATAGCTAATAAAGCCTGAGCAGGCCCTAAAAAGAAACTGTCATCCATACAGTTTATTATAACTCCTTTCAGTCGATAAATTATTAGATCAATGGCTAAAATAGCTAATAAAGCCTGAGCAGGCCCTAAAAAGAAACTGTCATCCATACTGTTTATTATAACTCCTTTCAGTCGATAAATAACAATGATAATGGAGCTACCACACTCTAAATTGAAAGAAATGTTATTATTGCCTGGGAATTTATTGAATAAAGGAAAGCAGTAACATTAGCATACTAGAGTTAACACAATGAAGAAAATTGAACGAATTTGTAATTTATCAAGTCATACTGTTTGATAGTCTCTATTCTGGAGAAGTCCAAGTGTTGAAAGCCTTGCCACATATGGACGTATCACTTCCAAAAGCCGTTTGTTAATATCAACAGCTTCTTTCCCCAATGCAACCTAGTAACATTTCATAGAATATGTCAAATTCATTAGTAAATACAAATATCCAACAATAATTTTTCAAAGAGCCATAGCAGACCATACCTCAATTAGTTCAATCTTTCTGTCATGAACATATGGAATGACATCAGGATCACTTTCATTACGATATTCAAGAGCTGATATCTGTAAGTTATCAATGATATGCTGGACAGCCGGCTGTTTTGCTAAACAATTTGCATTTAACATAAAAGTTTTCAGATGTCGTGGCTGCTTTTATAATGAACCTAATGAGATTATCTGTAACTTACATCCTGGAGTCGCAGTCAATGCTAATATTCTCACTTGCACTGGTATGGCCAACAACTACAAAACAAGATTATCAAATAGTATCTCAAACCAGTAATTTATTGCCAGTAACAACAAAAACTAAAGAAAATAGAGCAACAAACCTCGCGAATTGCTACACAGTAAGAATAATTTCCTGATGCTCTATGAGCCTCATCAATTACCAAACAAACCAAGTGTTTTGCCAGACATGTTCCTGAAAGTTGCTCCATGTGAGAAAACTATTGATGGAATAAACGAAAGAAATACAATGCAAGGACAGCTGGAAATCTCAGGACATATATTTTCACATATTCTGTATGAAAAAAAAAACAAACAAAGTCTTCCATCTTCCTTAACAAAATTCTTGTTCTGTATGAAAAAAAAAAAAACAAACGAAGTCTTCCATCTTCCTTAACAAAATTCTTATTCACTCAAAAAATTCACATATCATAACCATTTTATGTTCACATGGTTTCCATATAAAATATATTAAGGTGTAACCTTTTTGTAGTTAGGAGTATTATGGCGTTACTAAGAATATTACCAGATTGAATATCCTTTTCCAGCACTTGTGGAGTAACAAAGAAAACTCGTTTAGTTTTCCAAAAACATGCCCTTTTTGTAGGGCATACCTGGCCGGTCATATCAATTGTCCACTCCTGCAATCAGTTTATTACAAGAACCATGACAAACTAAAGTTCCCAACCGAAAACCAATATGTAAGCAAAGCATTCCATTGACAACTAAATTCAACATCTTACTTGTGGTATCCCCACAATATTATGGCATGCTTCTATTTGTTGCATCACAAGCGGTCGAGAAGGAGCAGCAAAAACTATTTTACCTGCAATGAAATACGAATACACATCATACCTATCAAACATTCAAACCTATCAAACATAGGAAGCCCACGGCATTAACTGCTTTCAAGTTAAACTCATTGTACTAATTCACTCACCACTAGATTTTTTCCCTAACCCATAGCCTTCCATCAAATCTACAAGATATGATGAAACATCCATGCAATTGATAGTAAAAACCAAATTACATTGTATTGAATTGACAAAAGATCAATCTGATAACAATTATTTTAATAATAAAATAAACCGAATTAAATTATTTTATTTTAATGATAAACCGAACCCGATTGAATCGATTAACCAAGACATTTTATGGTTTAAACTATAGTTGGGTTCTAATAAAAAAATTGTGCATTTACTGAAGCATGTAGAGAGATTTACCATCAGGAAACCATCTGAAGTAGTTATACATAACAACAGCAGCAATAAGCGTCTTTCCGAGCCCAGTTGGCAATGCAACCAATGTGTTCGTAAATAATGCGGTCTTTGTTATAGCTAATTGATAGTCTCGGAGAGGTACATTGACTGCAATATAAGAATCGATAGCCATATTTATCATCCAGAAAATAAAATAAAAAAATCTCTAAAAACAATAAAATTATTCCTTCAAAACCCAAAATTTCACAAACACCTTTTTTGCCTAAACCCCCCTAAATTAATAAAAGAAGCACCTTTTTCGCCTAAACCCCCCTAAATTAATAAAAGAAGCATTGAAAGAGAAAGGTGATAAAGACCTGGGTAAATCCAAGTTTTAGCTGCCTCGGCATCAATCTCAACGCAACACGGCCTCCCATCACTGTTGATGATGCCATTACCCTGATGATGTCGGACCTCAACCGTTGGCTTCACCGGTGGACTCGCTCTGCCAATAAACTTATCGAGCGTGGATTGCTTGCAAGTCCCAGTCTTTGTACATGAATAATAAGAAGAATGATTAAGAATATTAACGGGAGGGGTAAAATTGGAAGAAGAAGCTTGATTAATTGTAGTAGATGAAGGGTCATTTGCTCTTTCACAAGCGGCATCGATTTCTCTGACTGCTGCCTCCCAATCAAATTCCTGCAAGCGACAGAGTGAGTGAAGTTAGAGAGAGAGAATTTAGTGAAAGATTGATTGCTGGATTGGAGGTTTAAGGAAGCAGAATTGAAGAAGTTACGTCGTCGTCGTCGATTATTTGGAAAGGAACTGTTGATGTCATTTTCAAATTCACAACAATCTTTGTTTTTATTTATTTATTTATTTGGATTTGGATTTGGATTTGGCAGAGATGCAGGGAAAGAGAGGAGGGTGATCGATTGGCGGCAAAACTTGAAAAGTTAATTTTAGCTTTAGCTTTTCTGGTGCGTGTATGTGATTCCGTTTTATTATAATATTTTTTATTTAAAAATATATTAAAATAATTATTTTTAATTTTAATTCAAATTTATTAAAATCATTAAACAATATTTTTTAGATTTTAGTAAAAATAAAAATATTTTAAAGTACGTTTTGATTTATTATTTTACTTGAAAACATATTAAAATAATTTTTTATTTTTTAAAATTTATTTTCCAAATCAATATTTTAAAATAAAAAAACTAAAAAAATTAATTTTAATTTTTTTTTATCAAATTTTAAACCAATAATGTTTTAGCCACATTACCAAATACACCAATATCACATAACAAATAGCTATTTAATTATATATATAATAAATTTTTAAAAAGCTATAAAATTATAATTTTTATGTCAAATTATAATTTTACAATTTTTTCTATTTGATTTCAAATTACAATAGATATAAACCCAAAATCACAGGTAAAATGTGTGTGTTAAAGAGATGCTGATAAACGAAAGATAAGTTCTTTTCCTATTTGTTTTTGTCCCTCTCTCTTTGAATCAGGAAATATAAAAGTGTTGAAGGTAGATTTTTGTTCACATAGTCGACATCTTAATAGACTTTATAATTGATTTCAGAACCATAATTTCTAATGGACTTTATATTTTCTGCATAATTGATTTCAGAACCATAATTTCTAATTTTCCAACAGCTAGGGTTTGCTTCTATTCTACAACCCC